TGACACTGTACAACACACACCTGGATATATACACAGCTGATTATAATGACACAGCGCCTCGGTGTCCCAGCACTGATGTCCCTCTCCTCTTCCTCCCGGTCTCTCAGAGTTCGTGGTGGAGTATGAGGAAGAGCGGACGGGTCAGGGCGTTTGGCACGAATTGACGAGAGTGCCCGGGGACTCGACCAGTGCCTTCCTCGACCTGTGGCCCTTCTGCACGAGCCGCTTCCGGGTCATCGCCATAAACAAGCTGGGCAAGGGCAAGCCCAGCGAGCCCTCGGACAGCTACACCACGCCCCATGCTGGTGAGCGCTGGGATGTGCGCTCTCACAGAAGAGCATTCTGTCCTAACCGGCTCTTTTTGGGGAATGCCTGATGAAACCAAATCGACAGCTTTTTCATTTAGACAAAAGGAAATAATTGAGTTTTAAACAGATGTACGGGAAAGGTCAAAATCTCATCTGGCCTACGTCTGAAATGGAATGTTTTCTATTTGAATTGCTAGTCCCCCCAGTGAAACTCAGTATTTGAATCTCGGGTTACCCCAGTAAAACTCCATATTCAAGCCACGAGTTACCCAATAAAGCTTTCTACTCAAATGACAAGTTACCCTAATAAACCTCTCCCATCAAATCGCGAGTTATATGATGTGCTTTGTGCAGATTTTATTAAAAACGAACAGGCCACAGTGTGTCTGCTCTGAGGTAGTCAATGCCAATGTGCTGGAGAGCTAACTGCCCCTGTCTGTGTCACCAGCCCCTGACCGCAACCCCAGAGACGTCACGGGTGAAGGCACGTCCGCTGACAACATGGTGATAAGATGGAAGGTACAGCCCACCCCCCCACACACACCCCCTCTTTCTCTCAATTCAATTCCAATTCAATTCAATTCAAGGTGCTTTATTAGCATGACCGATGGGTACAATCAGTGTTGCCAAAGCAAATAAACAAAACAAAAAATAAAAGTAAAATAAAACCTACAGACATATTACAGACATTTACAACAAAGACATATCATAAAATATTTACATATACTGTAGACAGATGGAGCATTATTGGGAGACAGACTCACTGTTCCTCAGGCTGTGACAAGAGCTCACATACTGGGCTACCAATTCAGCTGAGTTCCCTGCTTCCTGAACTTGAACTATATAGATGTATTTATATATTGCAATAGTTCAGGTGGGCAGCTGCGTCAGCAGGCGTAGGCTGCAAAGGAACAGGTAAAGGGTTATTCCAGGCTGATAAGAGAAGAAGGAAAACACAACGTTTCGGCCTTGGAGCCTTTTTCAGGTGTGAGCTGAAGTATGAGGTGATGTCTTTCTTCTCTTATCAGCCTGTAATAAACCTATTACTTGTTCCTTTGCAGCCTACGCCTGCTGACGCAGCTGCCCACCTGAACTATGCAATATATAAATGCATATATATATAGTTCAAGTTTTTTTCAGCCTGGAATAAACCTATTGCTTGGTCCTTTACATATTGCAATGTTAGTGCGCACTGTTGTGCAGTGAGGGTCTATTAGACGGCCATCTGATCTATAAATGTGCAGTGTGTACAAACGCCCATTCCCTCTCACTCTGAGCAGATTGCAGTGCTCTGTGTGTGTTAAGCTCCTCTCACAGTGTACATGTGTGTTACCCCTCCTGCAGGACATGCCTGCGACAGAGCACGGAGCCCCTGGCTTTCAGTACAAGGTGATGTGGAGGCAGGCCTCAGGGGAGGAGCCCAAGTGGCACGAGAACTTCACAGAGTCGCCCCACTACGTGGTCACCAACACGCCCACCTTCACAGCCTATGAGATCAAAGTGCAGGCGGTCAATGACCTGGGCGAGGGCCCGCCTGCCTCTCCAGTGATCGGCTTCTCCGGAGAGGACAGTGAGTCAGCCTGCCCACAGGGGGTGCCCTCACCAGGGCACTCAGAGTGTGTGTCCCTGTGTCTGTCCCCACTGTGTGTCCCTGTGTCTGACCCCAGTGTGTGCAGAGTGTGTGTCCGTGTGTCTGTCCCCACTGTGTGTCCCTGTGTCTGACCCCAGTGTGTGTCCGTGTGTCTGTCCCCACTGTGTGTCCCTGTGTCTGACCCCAGTGTGTGCAGAGTGTGGTTCGTGTGTCTGTCCCCACTGTGTGTCCCTGTGTCTGACCCAAGTGTGTGTCCGTGTGTCTGACCCCAGTGTGTGCAGAGTGTGTGTCCGTATGTCTGTCCCCACTGTGTGTCCCTGTGTCTGACCCCAGTGTGTGCAGAGTGTGTGTC